ATAGCATGCTCCGGCCGCGGCGCCGGGCGCGGGGCCTGGCGGTGTCGCTCGGGACACCCGGCCCCCGACCCCGCCGGGACACCCGGCCCCCGACCCCGCCGGGACACCGCCGGCCCGCCCACCCTGCGCGCGTTGACGGCGGGGACTGCAGTTCTAGGCTTGTGGGGGCGGGAAAGCTCTTTCATAACAGACGGGTGCGGCGTCTGCAGTGCCCCGTCCGTCCTCTCGGGAGACACCCTGTGTTTACAGAATGTACGGAGTCATTGTACAGCTTGGAAAAGACCTCTGGTTCCAGCCTATGACCGAATATCACCATGTCACCTTGTGGTGCTGAGTGCACATCCAGTCTTTCCTTAAACAGTTCCAAGGACAATGACTCCGCCGCCTTCCTGGGCAACGTATTCCAACATCTAATCACCCTTCCTGTGAAACAATTTGAAACAATGTTTTGTGAAGTGTTTTGTGAAATTTTCCTCTCTTCCTGTCACTGGTTTCCTGGGAGAAGAGCCCAACCCCCCCCTGCCACAATCGCCCTTCAGGCAGTGGTAGAGGGTGATAAGGTCACCCCTGAACCTCCTTTTCTCCAGGATAAACACCCCCAGCTCCCTCAGCTGCTCCTCACAGGACTTGTGCTCCAGCCCCTGCCCCAGCCCCACTGCCCGTCCCTGCACTCTCTCCAGCTCCTCAGTGTCTTTCCTGCAGTGAGGGCCCAGCACTGGACACAGCACTGGAGCTGTGGCCTCACCAGTGCCCAGCACAGGGGACAATCCCTGCCCTGGCCCTGCTGGCCACACCATTGCTGATCCAGGCCAGGATGCCATTGGCCTTCTTGGCCACCTGGGCACAGCCTGGCTCATGTTCAGCTGCTGTCACCAGCACCCCCAGCTCCTTTTCCACTGCAAAAACTTGACTGGGGTTTTGCCCCATCAATGAATGCTTTCCAGCCTCACTGCAAAATAGGTGCGCCCATCAAACAAACTGAAACAAAGGCAAGAAAGATCAAGCCCACACTTAATTTTCAATAAACAGTTTCAGTTTTTAAAACTACATTTTAGCACGTAATTACTTAAAATGCAGAAGTACAGATGTAAAAATACATTATGTAATCCTGAAACTAAATACCTTTGACTAGATAAGTGAAGCACTTGCTCCAACATTTTGTCCAGCTTTTAATAATACTCTTAGTGAACTTCATAAATAATAAAGAGTTTACATATATGAAGGAAAAATGTGAGCTTTCCTTTTAACAATATCTTGCTACTATCTGACAGTCAATCATCAAATATTTTGTGTTGTCCAATTATAAAAGTGCTACATTTTACTATGTTTCCCTAGCCTTCTTCATGTCTTTACCTGCCTGGAAAAAGCTAATACCTCAGTGTCTATCCTAGTAATGAAAAACAAACTCACAGTATTCAGAATTTTGTCAACTTGAATTTTTTGAAAGAATAATTGACTAAAGACATTTTCCCATTTTGAGGCCATACGCTGTTCATTCTGTCATTGCCTGTGTTCCACCAAAATACCTAAAAAGCCAAGCAAGCAAGCAAGTAAAAACTCACCAAACCTCCCCCTCCCCTCATCCCCAAATATAAAGTGTCATTTACTGGAGTACTTTAGAAGTGAAAAGCTGTCTACTTACAGACAGAGTTATTTTTGCTGTGTTCTGTCTTATGTCTTATGAAATAGTTGCCAAACAGGTTAAAAACAAGCAAAAAAAAAAAAAAAAATAGAACATAAAAAGAATTGTGTTTTCTTTCCAAAATGGTTTGATTTATATAAGAAATCAGTGTTTTGATTGGATATGTATTGGTGTTCATTCCTGCATGGTTGATATTCAGACACAAGTTTTTATCAAAGGAACAGCCATGTTAAGAATACCAAAAGTATTCTGGTAGCTAACCTGCTTCATGCCTTAAGTGAAATACAACACTTTCCATGTTGTCAGCTTTGGGACTGAAAAAGGCTTGTGAGATTAAGACAACACCTTCTTCAGATCCTTTGCTTGCTTGGTCCTCACTTCTCCTCTTCAATCCCCAGCTGTGATTTAAGTGTTGCTTTTTTTCATACCTAGTCAAGTGTGCAGGTACATCAGCCCTTAATAGTGAAGGAGATGTCACTGAGACTTCAAGATGTCTCCTGTAAAAAAAAAAAAAAAAAAAAAAAAAAGAGAGCCCCAAAAACCTAAGGCAGAAAGAAAAAAAAAAAAAAAACAAAAACAAAAAAAAAACCCAAATGGTTGTATGTTGACTCATCTGATAAAGGAAGTGGTATTTTTCCTTCCTGTGCTTCAGGCACTGCGGCAGCTGACTTTAGCTGTATCCATTTTAAAAGCTATGTGTAGGTGCAGTGACTGTTTTTTCTCCCAGAAATTGTTATCCACTCTTTCTGTAAGTATCCAGTGAAATTGGTTTTGACCTTAGCAGTTGCTGAGATGAAAGAGGTGTGTTTCTGTTAATACAAAGCTGGAAAAATAGAAGCTGCTAGAAAGGTTAAAAAGGGTAGTGACACACACTTCTCTTGGAATAATTGTAGTCTTTGGTTTTTTATTTCCCCCAGCTTGATTTTTATCATGAAATGTGTAAGGGAGCAGAAGACATCTCTAGAGGTGTTTTTCTTGGCATTTGTTTCTCTCATACCCTACATACTCCCTCCCACTGGGAACTGGTTTGTGAGGAACAGAGATGACAGAGCTTATGGGCAAATAACTGAGAGACTACATGGCCTGGAAGAGGGTTGGGGGGCTGAACCGGTGTGGGGTGCTGCCTCCTCACTGCCCCAGGCAGCCTCTGCCTCTCTGCTGCCTGGACTGGGCTCTGAACAGCTTAATGCTCTTCCCTGCTCCAGGCTGTATTCCCTTGGGCACCAAATCCCCAAGCTCTGTTTTGTAGTTTATGGAGTGGCTGTGCCAGCCTTTTCCTCACACCTTACATGGTGCACCAGTCTGAAGACAGGTGGAAGGATGAGGTGTCTGATTATTTGAGGGAATGGTGAGCTCATTTGCCTTATTTTTTGCTTTTACTTAGAACCTGTTTGGATGAAATCCATGTCCATTTGATATTTCAAGGAGAGTGGACTGGTTCAGGGCTTGCTACCTCTCACCATTCTTCTCAGAGCCTGGGAAATGTAGCATTCAAATTCCTAAAGCTTCACATGAAGGTGCATCAAATATTTTTCTGCACATTTCAATGTTTAAGAAGAAACTGAGTGACACCATAAATTATGTTGAAGCAAAAAAAATGTTTAATTTCATATTCTAGGGACAGTTAAGATAAAATGATCCCTGGTGAGGGAATTCAGGTGGGATTTGTGCTCTTTCAGTGCCTAGCTCTACCTTTTTTTAAAGGCTACTCTTATCAATATGGATGAGGTAAGTGTTTGCTGTTTAGAGACATGCTCTGTTCCTAAATTGGTGGAAGAATAACCGGAAGAGTGTTGTTGTCAAGAGTGCAGTTGATGGAAGAGAGAAAGGCTAGTATGATTTTGTCCTTCAGGGGCATTTGCCACTACAGTTCTGATATTTTGTGTTTGTATATAAATGTATCTCTATTTATACATGCATATATGTATACATGGTGCAAATAAAAAGTAGATTCTGCAGATGGGTACACTGGATTCTGTAGCTTCTTTCTCTCCAAACCACATGCCCTTCTTGTCCTTCTGGTGTGTGTGTGTAAATGTGTATGCTGCTAGGAAACAGGCTAGTTGTAATGATATGCTTGGGAATTATTTTTGTCCTGTGGTATTCCATCAACAATTGCTAACTGCCCTGATATATGTAACTGTGAAACTCGGCTAGCCCAACATCTCCACTTACCTGAAAGCTTGGAACATACTAGAATAAGTAATGTATTGGATATACGTTGTTACTCTGCTTTATTAGCTCCAGGACATATATTATTTATATGGAAAGTTAAAGAAACAGTGCTTGAACACAAGAGAGTTGTTCCTTTGTGTATTTAATATTATTTAAACTAGAGAAATGTCTTTAGATTTAATGAAAAATACAGTATAATCTAAGAAATGTAGATTTGCACAGCAGTGATTGATAAACTTTTATCATTATTAGCAGCTTCAAGATGTTTTGAATTGTGCAAATTTTCTTAAATGGTGACTCTTAAAATAGGTAATATTTATAATAACTTCATATGAATTCTTGGGGGAAGTATCCTGTTGCTGACTCTCTGTGTGTGGGGACACGAGGCTTGACTCCATTTCAGAAGGCTGATTTATTATGTTAAATATTGTATTAAAATGCTACATTAAAACTATACTAAATGAACAGAGAGAACAGAGAGATCAGAAGGCTCAACAAGAATAGAACAGAATAGAATAACAAAATCCTGTGACTGCTCACAGCCTCGGCACAGGTGGCTGTGGTTGGTCATCAATCAAAAACAATCCACATGAACCAATGGAAGATGCACCTGTTGCATTCCACAGCAGCCTCTCCTGAGGCTCCCCAGCTTCTCAGGAGAGGAAAAATCCCAGCAAAGGATTTTTCATAATATCATGGCTACAGTATCCAAGAGAGGAATTTTGGGAGGTTCAAGTGAACTGTATATGTTCATAGAATCACAACCTCAGGTTGGAAGGACCCATAAGGATCAGCGAGTCCAACTCCCTAATGCCCAGCTTGAACTTCCCCTGATGCAGCTTCATTCCATTTCCTCATGTCCTGCTGCAGGTCACCAGAGAGGGGAGATCAGCACCTTCCTCTCCACTGCCTCCCTGTTCCTGGTTAGGAGGGTGCAGATTCCTGTGAGGTCACCCCTCAGCCTTCTGACTGCTGACCATTTTGTTCTCTGGAAAGAAAGCTAATTTGCTTCCAGCAAATTAGTCCTCTGACCAGGGGTTATGAAGCCTGATAATCATTGGAGTTCTTACTGCTTGCTTTGGTTATGAATAGACTCCTAATTTTAAGGGGGGGAAAAAAAAGGGAAAAAAGTTGTGTGGAGGTGGAAGTACTTAGTAACAGAAAAAAAAAAATTAATGGAATTAAAGAAACAGAAAGATTAGATCAGACTTGATCAGACAAGACTCAGAAGTTGTTAGATTTCTTAACTAGCCGATTCCTAACAGTTTTAGAGTTGGTGGTCAAAAATTGTGTTTAAAACTAACAAGGAGAGTAACATGGATGTTAATACAGATGTATTTGGCTAGTTTGAGTTTGTAGCAAATAAAGCAACATAGCATGCTTCAAGTCTTGTAGAAAAGGGCAGAAGTTATAAGACTGCATTTGGTACAGCATCTTAGAATGGCACGGAATTACTGTGATTTCAAAAGTAAGTATTTGCCCTTATTTTGCAAGCATGAATAATTTGTTGAAGAGTACAAGAAGAGTTGGTTATAAAAATACTTGAGTAAAGATAAATTTGTTAAAATGTGTTGCAGAATACTTGGTCCTCCACTTGTCTTTCATCACTGTATTATTTGAAGTAGGTATTTCTGTTATTGAATATAAGCAAAATAAATATTTGTATTTATGCCCAGAAAATATGAAACAGAGGTCTTTATTTACTGCATGTTAGCTTCATATGTTTGTGGTAACTAATAATATCTCTAATAATATCTGATGGTCAATAGTATGGTAATTGCCTTTCAGACACCCTTCAAGTTCAAAAAAGGAGATATACGTTCTGCCTATTTTGCTTCATGGCTTTGCAATCACCAGGGAAGTGGAATAAAACTGAAATTTACTCAGAATAATGCTAAGGAAGTGGAAAATCATTACCAAATTTTTCCTTCAGTTTGTGGGATAAGGGCTATGAAATGATTTCCAGAATCTAGAGTCATATGAAATAATATCGTGGGATTATTCATAATGTCATTATTCATGACATTATAAATGGCAGCATCAAATTCAGTCATCCCTCTTAAAATTAGGCTGTGTAGTCTGAAATATATCCAGGTGAGAGCAATTGATATTCATATTGTCCATGCCAAAAGTAAAATCAGAGAATAAGGGTGATCTGTAATGGAATTTTACCTTTGCGTCAATAGAAGTGAAATATATTTATTTTGGAGAGGCATATGAATGCCAGTGATTAGAAACTGCAAGTGTATCATATTTCTGTTTGCCTGATCTTATATAGCTGTTTGTTCTACCTGCTTTCTATTTTGTTTATAGTTCAGGTGGTGCCCTGACAAAATATGGACCAGCGGCTTTCTTACATCCTGCTACTGGAGCAGTGCGGTACTGGATTTGAAATAGGTTCTGAACACAGAAGGTAATTTAGCAGTTTGATATCTGGTTGTTAAAGTGACATGCACTGAACTTTGATGTTGGAACTGCTGTCTTTTAAAGTGACCTCCCTAGAAGAGGGGAGCATTGAAGACTGACATATAGGAAATTCTTGCTGTTTGAGGGAGATCTGAAGTAATTTCTTTTTAAAAAGGAATTATAAATCTTCTGTGCAATCTTCTATAAGTAATGGTTTATTTGCAACAGGCAGGGAGACCTGGGTTTGTCTATTACATGGTTATTGAACAGAGAAGGGTGTGTACATGGTATACCTTCATCCAGAGGAATGCTGTGCCTGCCACGTCTCATTTTTTACCTTCTGTCAGTGATGGTCTGGGAGAACTTGCTTAAATCAGTCTTCGTCCCAGTCTCCAAATGTTACAGATCACTGTGTTTGTAATTTATGGTATTGTTCCACAGTCTACTTACAGCAAACACAGAAGTAATGTTCTTTGGTCAAACACACTCTTGTCAGTTACTACATGTTCCCATCTTTAATTGTAGTAATTCTAGAGCCTAGTGTGATGGTTTGGTTCACAGCATCAGCTCTCTTGTTTGACTGAGTGCTGCCCATTTCTTGCACAGACCTAGTGTGCAGCTGAATGAAGCTGATCTGAAGCTGATCTGAATGTCTGTAAAATGAGACTGTAGCTTCGTTCTGAAACTGTTATGTGTAGCATCCCCAGAGAGAAACTTTATTTGGGATTTACTGAAGTTTTTTGACTTTATAAGAGGTTTTATACAGTTAATTCCCTTGGATCATAGTAAAATTAAAACCACTTGTATTAATGGTGTTGTATTAATCTACGTTTTATTTAGCACTGAAGCTTTTGTTGTTCTTCTGGGGTTTTGTCTTGAGGGCAAAAAACCCAAACCAACAAATCAACATTCCTGAAAGGATCATGCAATGGATAAGAATAAATGTACATGAGACATAAGGTGTCATGCCTTAGTCTGGCAAGCATTACTCTTGGAAGAAAATTAGCTTTATCATGTCTTCTTGCTCTCTGTGACACTGACTTTTAACTTGTGCTTACACGATTGCATCTTTCAGATTAATGTAGTTGGAACATTCATCTGTGTTAAAAGCCTCCTGACCCCTCTTCCAGTACTACAGTTGGAGGTTCAGCTGTGCAAATCGATGCACTGCCCTTGCTTGAACAAGAAGTCCGTGTTTGTTGTATGTTTGGTGTGGAGGAGGATGTGAGGTGACTGTGGCATTCTGGTTGGTTTGCTGGAAATCTGCTACCTGTGAGTGCAACTGCCAAGAGTACCCTCCTGAGCCTGTGCTCAACTAAATACCCCATCTTCCAAAGTTGTAAGAAAATAAATAAAAACATACTGAATTTGATGACCTAATCTTGTCAAAGATAATTCCTCTGTTACAGTGTGTAACTGTTGAAGTGGCAAGCTATGAAAATGATAATCAAGATTTTACCCTGTGAGGTAAACAAAAAATTTAAGAGTGTTGACAAATTTTCTGATTCGTGTTGTGCATAACTGGCAAGCTAAGTGAAATTCTTCAAGTAATTGCTTGAATTTATTAACAATATAAATGTGTTACAAGCAAAAAACGATCATGTTTATCACTTGGATAAATGATCTAGTCATGTAAATTATACATTCTAAAATTACGGGGGGGGGGGGGGGGGG